GGTGTGTGTGTGTGTGTGCGTGCGCGCGCGCGCGGTGTGTGTGTGTGTGTGTGTGTGTGCGCGCGTACGGTGTGTGTGTGTGTGTGCGCGCGCACGGTGTGTGTGTGTGTGTGCGCGCGCGCGGTGCACAAAACATGGATTCTGGCTACACCACATGTTACAGGTTTTTTTTTCTATATTTATCAACTGGATTTATCCACTTTTTCATTAGCAGGGCGTGGGCAATAAGATTTTTCGTGTCTAAAATTCACTGTTTAGAATAATTTTTCTTATATAGTAAGTGCGAGAAAGTAAAAATGACATGTCATAAATATCTTGACCCTAGTAATGACTTGTGATTTTAGGCTCAAAACTATTCACTTCTAAGTAAATAACATTGAAATGCAAAATATAATTGTAAGAGGACATTGTAATAAGTAAAACAGTAATGCTAAATATTATCCCGTTCCTTTATGCCTATGCTATTATTCCGTATAATACAGAACTAAATTCATCAATTTATTAATCTTTCTTATTAGCTTGGCTTTAAAAAATTATTGTTGGCTTAATCATTATTAAATTTCTACTCAAAATTCAGAATCAAGTAAATCGATTGCAATATAAATTTGAAGATCTGTGAAATGAAATGTCTAAATATATTTTGGAAAAAAGTGTCCCAAGATTTGCCGCCGCCCCCCCCCCTCCAATTTAATCACTGCAGGAAATCAATCAGGAACTGAAGAGCTTGTCCTGGCCGGGAACAAGGTGCCCCACAGTGGGAGATATCTTGTGGATTTTAAAAATATTAGTAGAACAGAGTAATTTTATGTTAAATGAAAGGTGGAAATTTTGAAAGATTCCACAAATTCCGAAATTGTGTTACTATCTCACTCTTGATTTGTGGCTTCAGTCGGTTAGAAGTTAACACCAAGGTATCTTTTTTCTTAATTTTTTCTCTCTCTGAGAAAAGAAAGTGCATTTCTAAATATGCTTTAAACATTTTGTAAAGATAGAATGCTTCATATTGAATTTTTTAATACAAGAGACGTTTGTGTAGAAACCAGTTCATTATCAAATTTTTTATTGTTATTTGAATCTCCCAAGCTTTGTTTGGTGAAGAGTTTTTCAAGGTGGCTAAAGAGGTAGAAGAGTTAATGGAAGTACAAATTGGAATATTCTAATAAACTGCCAATTCGGTGACCGAAATCCCGAAGGCAGTAGTGAGTTAGCAATCTTGGACCGAAAGATCGCGGGTTCGAGTCCTGCCCTGGGCATGGTTTTCTTTCACCGTCTATCATCACCATATCTTGTCATCTTCACAGTTACCATATCATTAAAATCCAATAGTGGTCACTAATGACCTAGATGTTGATTGTTGATGCGAACTTAAATAAATAAATAGCTAGATGTTCTGACCTTTACAAATATGAGAAAGTATGTTGTAGCATTTGGTTTTCTCTGCAATATACTTATTCATGAAAATAATATTCTTTCAAACCACCTCACTTAAGTATTTTATTCATTATTTTTTTGTTTCAGATTCATCAAGGGAAAACAACTGCAGGAAAAGAGCAAATGGCAATGAAGCGTGACACTTCAAGAATTTTCACTGTCCCAGAAGAAGATGGAGAATTAGATGATGTTCATTCAGAGAAATTAGAAAGTGTTAGCGTGTCACAATCAAAAAATATTCCAGATCTCGAAGCAGTTAGTGAAATAGATTCAGGAAGTAAGATAGAAGATATAGATTTAGTTAGCAAGATTAGTGAAATAGATTCATCAAGCAAAGAGGAAGCAGATTCAGGAATAAAGGTAGATGAAATAGATTCTGGAAGTAAGGCAGAAGAAATATCAGGGATGGAATTTGAAAGAAACTTGGAAATTAAAACTAAAATTCCATTAGATGACTTGAATATAAATAGAGTCTTGCATGCAAAAGTGCTCTCTATTTGTTGTGAGGGTGAAAGTGATATCAAAAAAGGAGAAACCAAAAGTATATCAAAAAAGCAGGCAGCTAAGAAACTAAAATCTAACTTACGAGGAAATAGATTGGGAATGAAGCAGGCCATTAACTATGATCGTGAAACTCACAGTTCTAGTTTAAATGATTTGTATGGTTCTAGGCCAGCTTCAAAAGCAATACCAATTCGATGTTATAGCTTTGGTTTGCCACAGATAACTCATGAAATGTGTGATGAACATGCTAATAGGGAAGAGGAAAAAGTTTCAGCAGAAAAGTATTTTTACAATACTATTGCAGACCCATTGCATCCATGTTTTCGAAATGATGGACTTCCCATTTCTAGATCTTTATTTCATGATTATGTTGCTGATCATTATGATTTACTGAAAACTGAAAGAAGTGTAGATACTAGCCCTATAGAAAATACAAGTGAAAGTTTCCCATCTGTGTCCGAAACAGAAGGACAAAATAATGACAGTGTCGAACAAATAGAACCCCAAATACTTTCTAAACCTAATGCTGTTGAAAATCCACATGTCAATATCCGAGAGAAGGATGCTGTCTCGCTCAAGCAGGAGGTATATAGGCGCTCACTTAGTTTACCCCTTAAAACTACTACATCAGATGGTGGTAATAATACTGTAAATGAAAATGAAGTGGCAGTGAACAGCAATAAAACATCATGGGATAAATTTGGAGCTTTAGAGTCGCCTCTAGCAAAACCAAGGCAGTTCTCAAATTTACAATTGACTCCTCTAATGTCAAAATTAAGTATTTTAGCAATGGAAGAGAAATCTGGTCTTCCTTATAGTCGAGAAACAACACCTTGTGATGTAAGAGAACTGTATATTCCCGGAAGAAATGGAGATAATAAACCATCACGTAGGCCTAGTGTTTGCAGGAGTGATACAAATGATGCCAACCATACAAAAATAAATGCTGTTCCAGAAACTGAGAAAGCTGTTTTGTATGTTTGTGGACAGCAGAATATGGCTTTATTGCTTCTTTTGGATGAAAAATTGGGACAAGATCCAGAACTCATACATTTTCTGGTGAGTTATTTACTAGTTCATGTCAGAAATGAGGTCTACATTCTCATACTTTTACCAACCCGCGCAATCCTTCACAGCTGTTTGGGGACTCCTAGTTGCCAGTGACAGACTGATAACATCAGGCTCTCAGTCGGTCGTCTATGTCCGGCATCATGTTGGAGTCGGTGGAGGCTCAAGATGATTATTATTTTTATTAGCCAACTAAGATCCCATTAAGGGCAAGGCCTTTCACAGGGAATGGCCGGCCCAGGGAATTGAGGCTTGAGATTCCTGAAAGTTAATTGCTGCAAAAAGTCTCTATTTTTTGTTTCAATTAATCAATTATCTTTTATTGAAACTAAAAAGAATCAGCTAAATTTAAAAATATTGTACTTGTGTATATATAAAACATTGTATAAATAAAACAGTATTTAAAGCATTTCATTTCCAGAGTCAAACATTTGATGAGTTAAAAGTGATGTTAAATAATATATTTATATGATATTGAATTTATGTATTTTGAATTACTGAAAACTCTATCCTTGTGTGGCCATTGGGCAACAAGTCGAATATGCTGATTTGCAGTGGACGCTTTTGTTTGGCTCCTGATTGCTTAAACTAATTCAGAGATCATAGTGACTTACATTAACTGTTTCACTTTAAATTAGTATGTCCAATGGCGACAAGATGTTTTAATCCAAGGAAGAATAGTACCCACCTCAATTTTGTTTAGCATATGGGTTCTTATTATACAATCATGAAATTAATACCAAATGTTAATTGTGTTAAATAAGTATGCCTTATATTCAGATTTGTAAGAAACTTAAATGATATTGCAATTGGTATGAAATGAATTATTTTTCCCTTCACAAATATTTTTCTGCTTTTATAGATAATTTTGTAGTGCAAACTTTATGCCTTACATAGGATTTTCTTTATATATTTGAAAATATACTGCATGTCCATTTCCATTATTAGAGATTTAAATTAATAACCTTGTTTTTCAATGTTGTGCAGAATTGATGAAAGTTATTAGTTTTAATTTTATTTTTAATCCATTTTATTGGTATAGGTAAACAGTTAATTTTAAATTTCTTTTCACATTCTTTGTTGGCCTGTAATTGTTTTAAAAATTGTATTGTTTTGCTCTCCAAAATTATTTCCAATTAATCAATTAATTGAAATAGTACAACTATGCGCAACTATGCGCGGTGACTTTAAATAACTCAGATGAGTATAGCGGCCGAGCCCTCAGTGCCACTCGACTGTCCTCCACATAATCAAAAGCCGAAAGGCGGCCGGTTGAAATGTCCGTAGACAGCGATCGCCTCCCCTCTGAGCAAGCTCCCCCTCTCCCCCTCCCTGAATGTAGCCATTTTGTCAAATGGTTACTGTGATATGTGCTGTGTAAAAGTTAGAAATAGTGTTTAATAATGTACAGGAGGGTGTTGATTGATGTTTTCATCAAGTAAACCATCATATTTATTTAGGGGTGGGGTGCGTTTTGTGGTTAACAATTTTTTTTATTGTTTATTTGTAGTGGGAAACTAGTTTGAGTGGGCTTACTCAGCTGGAGACACACCTTCATCACTCTTTGGAGCACCTTCCACAAGGGGATGGAATGGAGCCCTACAGCTACATCTGCCTGGATCCAAACTGGGACATGCTGCAGAGGGGCGGGTCTTGGGGGGCCTTGGAATTGGATGTGGTCAGCTGCTTACATTACGACTTCTCACGCTCTTCTGGGCTTACCGAAGTCGTTCTTAGGTATGTTAAATTACTGTTCATTTTGTTTTCTAAAAAGTAAAAGAAACTACTTTAAATATGTGTGGTTATAATTAAATTAATTCATTTAATATTTGTACTTGTACAGTGTCCTAACAAAGACCAAAGTAGAATTCTTGACAAAAGTATAGTGTAATTGAAAATTACATTTTTTCCCTTCCTGCCTACTGCCAGAGACGTGTGTAATACCTGTCTAGAAAATTGTATGCAAATTTATGCAAACTTATGTAAACTGTTAGTGTGTACAGATGCAACCATTTTGGACTGTTACAATGGTATAAACTAGTGGTTTGCAGCAGCAAAAGTGCTACTGAACAAAACCATTCAAAATGGTTTTCCATAAAGGAGCATGCACACTGCTCAAGAACAACAAATAAAATGTTATATAACAGTGCAATGAATTAAATATTGTAATAAATACTCTCTTCATGAATAACATTCAATAGTACACAAATAGTAGAACAGTTCTTTAATACCAAGAACATAAAAAAAGTTGGTTCCAAAACACAATACATAGATTCAAATATTTTATGGCTGGAAGTCGCTTCCTTGGAGCCCTAATTGTTGCATGTTGTATCAGCTGTACCTTTAGCAGGGAGGTACTGAGTCTGTGAATTTACTTGGTACACACAGTAAGAGAGTCGGTGGGGGAGAGGGGGGGAAGAAGGCATTTTTCAGGTAAAAGCAAACCTTTAATTATTTATTATTTTACATTTATTTAAACATTGTTTAAGCATTACTCTAAAAGCAAAATTTGAAGCTTTTTCAAAGAAATTTTTTGAATTTCTGACAAACATTATTGGATGTTTTTTGATGTAATTCACAAATTCAATAATATATACAAATTGCTGGAAATATACAATAACTTACAAAACTATTTGGACACGGAAAATTTAGCAGAATAATTACGGATTAAGAATATTAAAAGAAGAAATGAAATGTAATAAAGTGTATTATATGATTACTTTCTTAAACAGTTATAAGGTATTTTTACGGAAGTTCCTTTAAAATCCCAATAATCAACTGATATTTTAAATTTTGAATTTTTGTTTTTTTTGTTTTTTTGTTTTTGTGCTGAATTGTTAACTCTTGAATATTTCAAACATTTGAATGGAAATATAAACAAAGATGCACAGTAAGTAATCTCCTTTTCCAATTTTCCCCAAAGAGTTGTCTTACAGTAAGGTCTGGTGACTGGGGGTGGATGAAGTGCCTTTGGGCAGGTGTACAGCAGCCAAAGTTGAACAACCTGCAACTTGTTCTAGGAATCATTATCCTGATAAAAATAAAATTTATCAAGAATACTAAGATTTTCAGCATCCAGATCCTATGATGATTGAATGAACGTAGTGTAAATAATTAATTTCGGGAAAAGATGTTATAAGTTGACAAAATATAAAACGTGTAAAAAGAACGAAAGAAGAAAAACATGTAAAGAAGAAAGAAGCCACAATTGGGACTGGACTAAACTGAAATGGAACTTGAGTGAACATGGGAACGACTGTCATGAAGGCAGAGGACTGTTACAGGAAAGTTACCAAAGGGGATATATTAAATTTGATAAATGTATGAACAAGTTTTGAAATTAGATTAATAAATTATAAATTAAGATTAAAAAGGGTAATGGCCATGCTAGAGAGGAGTACGGGAAAAATATTAGATAGCAACAAAGTTGCTAGTGTAATTGTTAGTTGGGTTGTATATAAATGTCATGTACGTTTCTTTATATTTATGTTTACAGCAGAATGGAAATTACAATGTTTATTTGACTTTGAAGTAGATATTGTAATTTATCTGGTAACGGTAAGGAAAATTCCCAAATCCCAAATAAAAGGAAGTAAACATCTCGTTCGAAAGTTTTCACGACCGAAAATCTGTACACCTACAAATATAAATTTATCATGACAGATCAACCTCGGTACCTACATAGGGCTATTGTTGGGTTAAATACATAAAGAATTATCAAATAAAAATGAGTGTATTTATGATAGAGTAATCGCAGAGTAGGACGAAGGGAAACACCGTCAGAACAGCGCCCTTTGCGTGGAGCGAATTTTACGTATAGTAAATAAAGAAAATTTGAAAATATTATTGTAAAGTCTTAGGATACTATATGATTTATTGGATGTAGATGAAAATTTCAAGCAAAAATCAGTAAGGGGCAGCAAATTGTATTAATATTGGGAATTGTTAATAAACAGAACATAGTTTTTACGTGCGGGAGAGACAACCATTTTGTTCTTTAATAGACAAAGTAATTATTCATAATGGAGACTAGGAGCAAAGCATCACAAAAGTTAGTGGAACATGAGGATAGTAATACAGTTTCTGTCGCTAGTAGTGAGGGTGAGAATAACCGGGAAAATTTCAGTCCAAATGTAGACAGACAGAATAAAATGTACTACGATAATAGTACAGGCGATGGAAGTCGACGCAAAAGATAAGGTGATACGGTAACCCCGCAATTGGTCGATCGTAACCCGAAGACTATCGATACGAACCCGACGGATACAAATACCCTTCAATTAATTTTAAATATGTCGATGGAAAATATGAGAATCAGGAAAATGTAAAAAAAAAAAAAAAAAATAATTTGATCATGCAGCAGCGCTTCAGGTTGTCACTTTACTCTCTATTCAGCTGGACGACTAGTTGTAATTTTGCTACGTGCTTTATTTCTGTATTTTGCTTCGATTGGTAAAGAGTATTTTTTAAATGATTTATTAAAAGTGGTAATTGTTTTTCAAATGTAAGCTGAGAAGGTAATTCTTGAAATGCCAACATGAAATACTGGAGTAATGTACGTTTATGTATGACTGCATTTCTCTGCAAAATTTAGATATGTTTTAAGTAGGACATTTCTTACTTACGTAAATGTTATCTTTGACAAATAATACCTTTAGATCGCAAATAACTCCAGAGAATTGATAACTTTCAGGCAATAAACTTGCCAACGCATTATCTTTATCATATTGGTACCAATGGGTAACGTCGGGAACGACTAGAACGTACAGAACAGCTGCAGTATAGTGCGTGAAATTACGTGCAGAAAAAATGGATTAATGTATTCCTAGAGTGTGGGGAGATCAGCACACCAGCGAGACTAAAAACATTCAAACTCGGCATACCACATGATGAACTGGATCAACAAGGCAGAAACCTGGTCAACGGGTGTACTGATGAAGAAATACGTTTTTGTAGGATCGGACGAGAAGACCCAAGACTTTAAAAGAAGAAAATCGTGGAACATCTTCCAATGGAACATAGAAGGTTTGGAAAGCATACAAAGAAACTCGCCTATCAACATACCAACTCACGACATTAATATCCGAAACATTTGCTACCAAAGAAATGGATATTATGGTACCCACAGCCTCGCAACGCATGGAGAAGCAGGAAGACCCATCGGTGGAATATCCTGTTACTTCAAGCCCACATTAGCGCCAATAAGTATACTACCAAAAACTACAAACACCAAAACAGTCCAAACTAAAATATTCCCAGTAATAGAAAGCTACTACCAACTGGCATTTCAAATAGAAAATAGAGTAACTAAACGAAGTTAGCGAAAGCAGGAGAGAACCCAATTTTACTCGCAGGAGATTATAACTGCCGCGCCGATAAAAGATCACACAAAACCGAGCTTCTATTAGAATACCTACAAGAAATTCGTTTTGAACTGATTAACAATCCTAAATACCCAACGTACATATGGCTACAACGGAAGAAGCACAATAGATCTATTATTCTTGAACGAAAGCAATGACTAAATCTATACAACCAACCATCATACAACATCCATATAGAAAACACAAGCCAGTACTCGCAACGTTAGAAATAAAATGTACCACAAAGCCAAACACACAACAACCCCAGGAAAACAAGAAGACAACTAGATCTGACAAAAATGAATTCAAAACGGAAATAAGGTAGATAAAAAAAAATATTAACGAAAGGAAAATTGAAGAAGCAACAACGCGGATAGAGCAAATAATGAAATCAGCCCAAGTACGACACACACAAAAGAAAACATCCAAACCATGGTTCGACGCCGAATGCTATAAGGAGAGGCAGAAGGTACTACACCATCTACACAGACTACAAAGTATGGGAACCTCTCCAGACTCTAGAATGTGCCCTCAAGTGAAACGAAAATACAAAACGCCTCTGAAAAGGAAACAAAAATACACAAAACAGGAAGCTCAGAAAATCATACCTTTAGCGGAAACCAATCCATTCGCAGTTCTCCACCACGGAAAACGTATTTTACTCATACAATTCAAATGAGGGAACGAGAAGAATATTTCAAAACCATTCTCAACACGGAAAACACAGAGCAAGCACATAACTCAAACACAGAAAACCCAGAAAACTTCTACTTAATAACAGAGAACGAGTTAGCAGAGACAATTCTAGGATTAAAAACCTGGAAAGTGGCTGGATCAGACGAAAGGTATAATCACTTAAAAGAAGCCGGAACCGCTCTGACACATGGAAAGATCTGTTCAATAAATGTCTAGAAACCAATCAAATCCCCGGTAGCTGGAGAACCTCTATCATCAAACTAATTTACAAAGGGAAAGGAAATTCACAATCCCCTGACTCGAACAGTGGAATAGCCCTGCGTAACACCATTGCTAAAGTTTTCACGAAAATAATCACAAACAGAATGACTAAAGAAGTAGACCACCTAATACCAGAAGAAAAATTTGTATTCCGCAAAGGAAGATCAACACTGCAAGACATCTCCATCCTGCAGACATGCAAAATGCCCTCAAGCTACCCAAAGGAAAACTCTACACAGCTTTCATCGATTATAGCAAGGCATTTGATTCCTTAGTTCGCGAAAACATAAAAGGGGAACTGGAGGAAATGCTTAGACACGAAAACTACCTCGTTACCACCACAATAAACATGCTAAAATACAACACCATCACCATAGGTAATAACATCGAAAGATACAAAGCAGTCATTCAAACAAATGGGGGTTCTACAAGGAGACCTCCTAAGTCATCTATTGTATAACATCGCTGATATAATACAAGTGATAATCACAGAAAGCACCAAAGCACATCTCTATGCCGATGACATTGCCTTATCCTCCAGAAACCACGAAGGTCTCCAAAATAGCCTAAACAAACTCGCGACATGGGCCAAGGAAATGTGACTGAAAATCAACACCAGCAAAAGCGATGATCTTCAGAAGACGGGGAAAAGTAGCGGAGAAAGAAAACTAAAACTTGGAACCGAGAAACTTGAAGTAGTTAATGACTACAAATACTTCGGAATTACCATGCAAACATCAAGAACCACCTCCAATAAACATTAAAAAAGCAATCGCCACCATAATTGCACTGAGAGACGTCAAATAAGAGAAATATCACTACAAACAGCAATGAAGATTTTCAACTATACCATACCAACATACGGAATCCACATATAAGAGAACGCCTGAATCTCAGAGAGATTAGAAAACATCAAGGCACTATACCTGAAGAAAGTACGAGGTGTATCAAAATATACACTGTCCAGATATGTATATTACTCGGGCAACTTTTCTTGAACGATGACCTTGCTTCCCCCTCTCTGGCACAATAAACAGTTAAAGAAAAAAAGCTCGCAGCGAGCACTGATGACAACATTCCAAACACATCCTCACTGGCACAAAATAGAAACAATTTTCTGTTGAAGATGAAAACTTCTGTCCGTATATTTCTTCAAAAAATTACGTTACCAGAAATTTAAAGAAAAAATTAGGAACCTTTTTCGATAAATATAAATTGTTGCAAGGGTTTCATATAAGTGCCCTAAAAAATTAATGAACGTTTTTCAGAATCATAGCGCTTTGAGTGGAGCTAGATTGGTCAGGGAATATTCATTTGGGAAAAAATCGTTCAAATAATTTATGTGCTTGCGTTGTTCACAGACGGACAGGCGGTTTTGAATAAATAAAAAAACACTTTTTTGGTATTAGAGTTTCTAAAACGTGTATTTCCGTTGAAATATATTTATTTACATCAAAAACAGTTAAAAACTGTGTATGACGTGCTATGGGGAGAAGTTAATTTGAAGTTACATTTATGCCCAGAAGCAAAACAAGGGGCCATCTCAGCATTTGCTCAAAGATCGGGGAAACTGGACGAAAACCTGATCGAAATGGGAGTCATTGACCCAGAAGCTGAAGTACAATACGTGTTACAGATTCTTTACAATTATACAATCCAAATGATATATAATACATTAAATTTTATTTTAAAAATTAATATTACTTTCCTTTTGGATGCTCAATCTCGAAATAGATTTTCCCAGCATTACATAACTTTCTATATACTATGTATATAAGTATTTATAATTTTTTAAAAAAAATTATTATTGCTTGGCCTGTAACCCTCAGCAGCCGTGAACAACTGATACAATAATTCAGTAATTGATTTTTTTTTTAACAGCAAGTTTACAAGATATCTTTTTTTATAGTGGTTATTTCATTTCAGAAGCATTTTATAAATTATGGAGAGGCTAATGGTTTCAGTCTGCTTAAGGAGGGTCAAAAAATGATCTGTGTAATTTCCTTTTTAAAACGTTTTCGATGGGGTTCTGTTTACGTAGTTTGAAATGGGTAGCTGAAGGTATTTGAGAAATTTTGTTATAGAATTTTGCGGAGAGGTGGGAGAAATGTACAGTAATGGGGTGATAAGAGTTGTTGATGGAGTTGAGTTAGGGATAAACCAAGGTGCTTTTGTGATTAATGTTTGGAATTTATTGTGGAACATTTGGATTTTGTGAATATTGGTTTTGTATGCTGCAGCCCAGACTGGAGATGCATAGCACAATATAGGTTGAATCATTGGAAGACATGAATGGATATAATTGAAGTGGGGATGATTTCTTAAGTAAGGCCAGAATAACTGATGTGTTCTTCTAGTGGCTAATGCAATTCTGTGCATGATATTTGATCTCCATGAGAGTTGTCTTTCAAATAATACTCCTAGGTATTTTGCCATGGCGTTCGTGGGAATACATACAATGTTATGATTTTGATAGGTGAGTGAGGGCTGGTCAAGGGGTCTTTGAAGAGTGAATTTTCCTTTACTCTTGCTTGCGTTCATCAGAATATGACATTTTTGTACCCAATTGGAAAATATTTTGAGATGATCTTTAAGATTCTCTAGTGCTGTTCCTATGTCACGGTTTGTAGAGTAGATTGTTGTGTCATCTACAAAGGTGGCAATGGATGTAAATGGTGTGGTTGGTACATCAGCTATGTAGATATTGAATAGGGTTGGGGAGAGGCCGAACCCTTTGGAACTCCTAATTTTATGGGATATGGTGTTGAGAGTGTGCCAGGAAGTCACACTGAAAAAGTATGTTCACTATGGAAACCTTCTCTTAAGAAATACATGAAATAAATAAGCAAATGTCATGTGGTTCCTGCAAAGCTCTCATCATTGAATGTGGGTTACTACCATTACTTTACCTATTTATTTGTGAATCATAGCTTTTGTTAAAACTGAAACAAAGCATTTCTAATCAGACCTTGAAATGGATTCGAAGTAGCTAAAAGAAAATTCTACCACTACAGAAGGAATTGAACGCTAGCCTTCACCACACAATGTGAAATCTCACAATGTGATCCACGATAATCTTTAAAAAATAATTGTCATATTTCAATGAAGTTATGCAGTTGAGCTCTCTGAAAGACAAGCAAGTTCATGGTTGAGATTGTACTTCTGCTTTGCTAATATCCACTCCTTGATTCTGAGTACGCTGTTTTCAAGAAGAAGGGGGAGGTAAGTTTGACAGTAGAAGGCCCTTTTGTGGTAGAAACACAGTAAATTCATTGTTTTGTAAGAAAGAAGGTTCTAGTAACTTACAATGGTATTCATTCATTCATTCATTCATTCATTCATTCAGACTGTCTTATAAACTCAAAAAGAGAGAGAAGAAGAAGAAGAAAAAAAGAAGAAGAAAAGAAGAAGAAGAAAAGAAGAAGAAGAAGAAGAAGAAAAGAAGAAAAAAAGAAGAAGAAGAAAAGAAGAAGAAGAAAAGAAGAAGAAGAAGAAAAGAAGAAGAAGAAAAGAAGAAAAAAAGAAAAAAAAAAGGAAAGAAAAAAAAAGACGAAGAGAAAAAAAAAAAAAAAAAAAAGAAAAAAGAAGAAGAAGAAGAAGAAGAAAAGAAGGAAAAAAAAGAAGAAGAGAAGACCAGAAAAGAAGAAGAAGAAAAAAAAGGGGGGACTGGTGGCGGGGGGTGTAGGAGGAGGGAAGAAGAAGAAGAAAAGGAAGGAAAGAGGGAAAAGAAGAAAGAAGAAGAGGAAAGAAAGAAAAAAGAAGAAGAGGAAAAGAAGAAGAAGAAGGAAGAAGAAGGAAGAAGAGAAGAAGAAAAAAAGAAGAAAGCTGATACTGTAACGTTCGGGCCGAGGGCCAAGATGGACAAACACATGTCGGAAGGCCAGCGAGGGGCGGGGGCGCGTCCTTTGGCGGCAAGCGGGAAGGCCACCAGAGGTGGCCCCTCCTCAAGGGCCGGGTCGTGGCGCGTGACTCGGAAACGGCGTGGTGTCAACTGGCGCAGAGGAAATGATGGGTGAGTCCAGCCGCGGTGCAGCGGGACTCCAAAATTGCAAAACAGGCCCACGTTTCGGTATGAAGAAGGACGCCGCGCCAGGTGAGGTCTGTCACGTGACCCCTCGCGGAGCCGCTTGAGGGTAACCAGCCGTTGGTCATTTCGAGTTTGAACCGAATCGCGCGTGCGGAACAAGAAGGCACATTTCACCCGCCAGGGGTTATCGCG